AACTGAAATAAATAAAAAAAAAAAAAAAAAAAAGCAATGTTATTGGAAAAAGACTCTTGAAAAGTCTGTTAAGTGTGAGGCAGAGGGCTGACCGTGATCCCTTTTCCTTCAGTCACAGTATATTTTATTAAATTATGAGAGATGGGGAAGGGTTCTTGTGCAACTGTTCTGTTCAGAGCCTGTGTTTAGTTCATGAGCTTGTTCTATGTTAATACCAAGCGAGGTACTCAGAGATTATCAAATTCACATACCTCTGCCTGTAAATACAATATTAATCTCTATTCAGTTATTCTTCAGTAGAACTGTGCTTTAATGAAGTTGGGAAATTATTAACTGTTATTAACTGGTTTTCTTCCTTTAATTTTTTAGCAGTTACCTGCAGACAAGCGTGCATCCTCTGACCTCAGTATTGCCAGCTCTGAAGAGGATAAACTTTCGCAGAATGCCTCTGTTCTGGAATCTCTTTCTGAGAAAACAGAAAGTAATGCAATTGAGGACAAAGCCAGCACTATATTTCCAGATGACAAAACAACTGGGGATGAATCTGAGGACATTAATTTTAGGAAAACAGCTGATATCATATGTGATACTTCTGTTGGTGATACAAAAGTGCAGAATGGTTCTGTGCCAACTGGTGAAGATGAGCAAGGCAAAATAGTGCCAGCTGAAAAGAATACAGAAAGCCTGGAAAAAACACATGAAGATATGGAAACCCAGAAGGGAGGAAAAGAACTTGATGTGGTAGCAAAATCAGAAATAAAGGGTGAACCTGACCTAAAAATAGAGAAAGAAAATTACATGGGAGATGAACAGATAAAAGATAAGAAGCTGAAAATAGTATCTACAACTGAAGTTGAAGAAGCCATTTCTAAGGAAACTGGTGAAAAAGAAGAGAACAGAACAGATCTCTCAGAAATTAAGGAAGGAAAGGTCCCTGCAGAAAGTACTACAGAGCAAAAGAAAGATGAAGATCAGAAAGAGGTGATAGACACTACTACAGAAACTCTACCGAAAGTGGCTGATGAAGAAAAGGAACTAATAAAGCCTGGAATTGACAGCATTAAGGAGATAGGTGATATTGCTGAAACACAGATCAGTGATGGAGATAAAACACCTGAGACGGAGGATAAGCCAGTGGAAAGTCAGGCTAAGCAGGTCCATGAGATAATCAGCTCTGAAGAAACTCTACCAGAAAGCCAAGATAAAGCGATCAAAGTAGACAAGAAACAGGCAGAAAGTGAAAATGAGGATATTTGTAATATAAGCAGCATGGAGGAAACGGAGATCAAAGACAAGGTAGACCAGAAAGCAATGCAGAGCAAGCCTGAGGACATTTCCAATAAAGTGGTGGATAAACTGACTGATATGGACCAAAATTCAGAGGAGCACAGACCTGAGAATATCCAGGAAAACAATATTCAGATAGACAAAGAACATTTGGAAGTTACTTCTGATGAAATAACGAAGAATAAGCTTCAAGATATTGTCAATGAACAAGCTGATGACTCTGAAGTCACTCCAGTCCCCAGTATTAGTATTAGCACCGAAGAAAATGAGGAGAAAGTCAGAACAGATAATAAAGATAATACCGAAACTTTGCAGCAGCTAGAATCAGAGAATTTGAAGGAAAACGATGCAGATTCAGGCACTGGTTCTACAGCTGATAACAGCAGCATTGATTTGAACTTGTCAATTTCTAGTTTCCTTAGTAAAAACAAAGAGACAGGATCAATATCTTTACAGGTAAGTATAAGCAATCATATATTTTTATATAAAATCCTATGTGAGTGTGACCCTAAAATTATCTCCAAATTTGACCTTTGCAACATAGAAAATTGAGTGAGAAACTAGTATGACTGCATGGAATATAACACTGAAATATTCAAAATTGCACGCTCTAAAGACGTCTGGGTTTTGTGCAGTTATGCGGCAAAGCTAGAAGCTACAGAGCTGCTAATTATTTTATTGCACAATTGTATTTTAAAAATGTAGACTA